TGTCAGGCTTTTAATGTAACTGTCTTAGTTCTTCAGATCCTCGATTTTCTCAGCCTTTCATCTAATCAAGGTCCAAAAGTTATCCTCAGCATTTTTCTTTTAAAAGTCTTTAATTTATTGTATTCTACATAATATAAATAATAAACCTTATGTAATAACGACCACGTTTTTCAGCCTCAAATCACTACAATTCGTATTAAGGAGTGGTAAATTTGTGTCCAGGTTTTTCGATAAGATAGTAAATTTTAATATACCACCGATCCCATATAGTAGCATCTATTCCTCGTTTGAATCCTTGATTTTATTACCTCTTAAACTTCATTTTTATGAGTCTTAGCGTATAGATACATGAACTCTTTTACCGCGAGGACTTGAAACTTTTTGGTATCATTTAAACAACTATTATTTTCCATACACAACGGTATTTCAAAATATTTAGACTTTTTTAAGCTATTCCTACTGTTCTATAGTACGTTTTTAGTATTAACTCATAAGCTATAATAACAGTACATTATTATAATATTTATGATTAAGTATTATAATACCATGTTTTGTCAAATTTAAAACCAACTGTTTTTTATGTATGGTGCTTTTGGTGTATCATTTAACTCAAATTTAACACATCAATTAAAGTAACCAACTCAATGACGAGGTACACTCAAAACCTATTATACAGCAGAGGCGAGTTTACCGTTTTTTTGCACTCACATTTCAAGTCTGTATTATATATTTATATAAAACAAAAACACATTTATAACTCGTTATGTCATTTGTATTATAATGGATTAATTTTTCATTCAACATTGTAATAGCCGATAAATCACACTTAAATAATATTGCCAATTTGTGCGGTACCTGACTATTACTATGTTTATGGTCATATATTATCATATTTATTTTGGTTGTTCCCCAGTCGTATGAAGTCGTAAGCGATCACAAATTGACCCATTTTTCTGCTAGTGTTATTATTAATTTTTTATTTATATAGCTTTCAGTACTTACTAAACTATTACAGTTCAACAATTAAGTTAGATATACATATTATAGCCATATAGGTGGTTAATATTAAATCAACTTACATGATACATTCTGCTACTGTTTTACGACTGAATTACACTGGATAATAAAACTTAATGTAAAATGTAATTAAATAACTGCATAGATATAAAAACCGTTACTGGGAAGTCCTGTGATCTATTGAAATTACTGACGAAAAAAAATAACAAGGTTTTTGCTCTATATTATCGGCTGTATAATATTTTACATTGGTACTCCTAAATTCCTAATTGATTTTATACTGTATACAAACTACCCAATTAATAAGTTATTACGTATTATGTGTATTTAAAATTTTGTGTAAATGTATCGGACACTAAATAGTCGAGAATATATATATATATTACCTACCTATAAGTAGCTCAGTGAACTATTTCATATTATCTATGTTGAAAATAAATGAAATTCTATATTTTGTATCAACAAATTAATTGAAAAAATCACAATTAGATGCCTACAGTTAAGTGTTAGGTCGACCATTAAAAAATCAATTACTCTAATATTAATTCATTGTTGAATTGAAAACGTCATTTAGTTTGACAGGTAAAAATGTGATAAAATGGGATTAAAAAACACAGTAGACGTTGTAGGTATGTGCTATTAAAGTATTGTACCACCCAACTCCTAACCCCTGTAATGCATTTATACGCAGATAACTGTTTAGGCGTTGAATATCCGCCATTTCGGTCTGATAAATTGTATGTTTGTCAGTTGACGTTCATTAAACGTCCGAAGGCCTTGTTCCGGATACCGAGATTGCGCTCGTGTGTCACATAATTGTGTTGGCTGGGTGGTGCGATGGCGATAGTAAGTGCGGAAGTGATGAAGTACCCGCAGTATTCGAATGAAGTTGGTTCACAGTGCCTTTTTACCGGAAAGATCAATATTGCGAAAAGACAGTGGATATGGCCTATATTTTATTCGTTATTTTGAAAAAACGCAAAATCGCAGTGAACACGTTAACACGTTGAGAAGGGTTTTTAATTTTGTGCATAGGATATTGAATGAATAACAATAATAATGAACAGAATTATAGGCAGGGATACATATTCATCCCAACGTGTGACATTTTAAATGTAAATACTGTAGAATATTTTCAAATACTACTCACAGAAAATAAAGATTAACTATGTAATTAACTATGATATAAATAATATCACAAATAAAACGACTTGGTAGATAAAATAATGATAAATCTAGTATTTACTGGTCTCAATTGGTGTCGATACCAAGGATACGCCAGCGCGTATCATTAATTGTACCTCCTACAAACGTGTCCCTGCAGACGTCTGTCTATCGCATAATAAAGGTTATATTATTATATATTATTATAGTATTATCAAGATTATAGATCGGTAGAAAGTATTTTCTGAGTTCATAAAATACGAAAAATTAGTCATAATACAAAATTATAATTTATAACATATAATGGTAAATGAAAATACAAAATTAATATATATATGTATATATATTATTAAAAAACTAAAAATGTCTAAAAACCAACATTTCTACTTCTCCTCGGTCTACTTACATACTTGTGAAATGATATTATCTTTTAGGCGTGATATTTTTCTTCCATAACTTTCGTCTAAACCAGTGGTTCTTATACTGTGGTAGTCGTATCCTTTGGGGGTAATCAACATTTTTAGGGGTTACGATTCTAGCCAACAAACCTTTATTTCCAATATTTTCTTTTTTACTTCTGGCATATAGGTAGGTAGGTCACTTAAAAAATGAAGGAAAATAATAAAAACTAAGAAAAATTATGTCACTAAAACATTTACTTAACATTTACCTATATTCAAAAATAACCAGACATTCACACGTTTGTACATTCGATCAACAAATATTTTCTAACTAGTCTGAAACTGCATGACCTCTTCAATGGAAACAGAAAAAGAAAATTCATCCGAAATAATTATACTTAATAAGATTTAAAAATCACATTCTCAAAATAAACAGATTAATGTATGAAGCGGTTTTACTTCGTTTGGATGACTCCGGTCAAATTTGTATCGTCAAACTACCACTCTCTTGAATCGTCAGCTTTCACTCAACTCATAAACAACTCGAGGGTAGACATTTCGGTTCTAAGTCAAGTATCCCCGGTACCTATATAATGTAGGTAACGATTGTAGAAGCTTTTAATCTAATAAATTGAGGCATACGTAGCTCCTCAAATTAACTCGTCTGTTTAGGTTGCAGTTATAGCTAGCAAATTTAAACGCGGTGTAAACTTGTTTCATTTTGAAGCTTCAATATTGGCGGCAGCAGGCATATTGTTTCTATGTATTAGACATAATTTCGAATATTCGAACAATTAACACAGTGTATGTAATTATTGGTCAATTATAACTTGGCACACAGTGTATACAACGGGACTTAAAAATCGTGATTGAAACGGAAGGTACCCGTGTATTAATTTTGGCATGAGTGTACGTCACGTATCGAACCACTAAGATTCAACAGCTGATAGGGTAGTCTAACTTTGAACTACTATTGAGTGAATCCAGAATAGATACGAACGTTGATTGAATTAAATTTAACTTGTATTTGATGAGTATAGATATAATAGTAGAAAAAATAGAAATGTACTGTAACCACTTGTACTTATATAATATAATTGTTGTTGTTGTGTTAGTTTTGAACTATGTTAAGTTACGTTTTGGTATTTACCTATTACATTTTTCGAAAATAAAGTTTTTTGTAAAAATAAAAACAGTTCAAGAAATTATCTAATATCGGTATATAAAATATTAGGCGCATACAAATCAAACGAATAAATAATAAAAAGTGGAGAAAAAATTGGTACCTACCTACTTATTTAACATAATCACTATTTCACGTACTATTAATGATTTTAGGATAAGATTTTAGAGAAAGATGAAAAATTTAATATTTTAAATTAACTATAGCTATACGTAAGAACAAGCTCTAATTCGAATCAAGAAAAATATGCAAAACGATATTTTAGATAAAGTTAAAGCTAAAAATAAAAATTATCAACGTATATAATATATATTTTATAATAATATAATATTAAAATTACAATGAATCGCTCCGCTCAGAATCTAAAAACTATTATTGGATTATTATATTGCTGGATTTTTCCAAACATCATTATTTTTCCGTAATAATTAAACAACAAATCAGCTGTTCTATTTGAATGTAAGAAAAATTTATAAATTACTCTCAAAATGTATATACTTTAACTTTTAAGGAATTTTGGGTGTGGAGATGTATAGCAAATCATCTGCATAATAATTTGTCAAAAACATTTATAGAAGGCCCATATTGGTTTTTTAACTGACATAAGTCATCACTTTAATAATTTATGGTCCGATGTTTATTTTTACAAAATATTCATAAAAAAAAATAACAATAAGTTTTTTATCAATGATTTTATATACATTTTATTTCTTGGGCAAAAATAGTTTTCATGAATAAATATATTCATATTTCGCTTAGAATCTTAAATCTAAAACATACATAAATATATTAATTCTTCGTAGTATAAATGGTAAACTATGGTTTAACTAATTAAATAATAATAGGACATTGGTGTAATTTGTGGGATGCGCGCGTGTGCATTAGTATCCCATGGTTTTTTTTTTTTAATAGCTGTAACGCCGGGAACCCATGTAATTACTTTTATTTTACGATTGAAGCTAACGTTTTTGGTATTGATTATTATATTATATATAGGTCTATTGTTTTATGTCTCATGAAAAAATGTGATATGACACCACTAAAAATAACTATCCCTACTCAAAAGTTCTTACTTACAAACGATAATTTATTACTCATCCTGTATTTTGTATTTGTGTCATTTATGACATGACCATGGTATAAAAAAATTTTAATTATTTTTTATTTAACAGAATAATCAAGTTCTACAGACTTAGGATACCTATTTATATATATGTGTGTACATTTTTTTGCAGAGACGTCAAGAGGAATGACATGAAAGTAATTGTATGTCAGTTTGGGGTACAGCCCCCAAGCGATGGGAGATAGCGTCGATAACTACATAAATGCCACTGAATCAGACATCATGATTAAAAGACAAATGATTAGAGCCGAATTTTATAATACTTACGACGTGATGACTGGAGTAAATATTTTAAAAACTATATAATAATAATTAGATGTTCATTTTTACACATTTTATTATATGCGTGTGACTATATTTCTTTTTCAGATTAGGATTGCGTCCACTTTGGGGGGATTTTTTTTAATGATGGTTCTATTAGTATTGTACAAAAGTAAATGTAAAACTCGATCACTTTCTGACCAACATCTCGAGGCAGTCATCAAAGCGGCTGTGGACCAAGAAGAACAACTTGCTGCTTTGGCTAAAAGAAGTTCTAGCTCTAGCTATTGCTCTGGCCATGGTCTTTGTAGATGTTCTCCGAGTAACAAAAATAATTGTTTAACTATAATGTATTTATTAAATTAACATAATTTATTTTTTCACCAGGATATAGTATGACAGAGAACACTGTTGCTGAGTGTAATAATTGGAACCGTAAAGCTAAGACCTATCTTTCTGAAACTCAATATCATCCGTATTCAGCTTTAACTCAAACCAGCAACAAATTTATGAAATCATCAGTACTAGAATACTCTTTTGAAGAGGTAAGTGCTGTGTAGTGAAAATGTTAAATAGTAATTACTAATTAGTAACAGTTTATTTATCTTTAAATTTGTAGGCTCCATTAAAAATTTACCATTCACTTTCATATTTGCTGTAATTAATTAGAATTTAATTTCAACGGTAAAGTAGTGAACTATGACATTTTAGTGGGGAAAAAATATATGGGTAATGCGTTATGAATAATATTTATATTTTAAAGGTTTAATTTAATTTATTTATAGATAAAATTATTTTACCGGTCTATCAATAAATAAACATAATATGTACAGACTACAGGCTACAACTGGCACACCTAAATGAAATAAAAAGATTATTTTATAAGTAAAATCTGTAAAACTTACTTTAAATACATTTTTGTACGGCAAAAATGAATTTGTTAGCACTCCGAGAAGCCCGGATTAAAGAGATTCTAAGCTCTGGTGCAAACTTTATTGGGTCTTTTAAACTCTTATACTTATATACCTCTCTATTTCCCCACTTCTTTGTTTTTATGAGTATATATGATTTCAAAATAAATTAGCTTTGAGAACGTGCTCACTATAATACTTGGCCATCCTTTTTAGACTTTTCTTTTGTACTTTGTTAATGAAACCTTATATCTGTTCTCAATAAAAATATCTACATTGCCATTTGCCGTATAATTTATTTTAACTAACATACTTTGTTTGGTAGATTTCAGCTAATATTAAATTATCGTTTCGGATTAACCTATTCATAATTCCAGCACAAGCTATATTGGAACCTTTAGATTCTCCATAGTTTGATTTGCAATAAATAATTGTTTGAAACTACATATTTTATGAATGTATGAAACTTAAATTCTTTATGTAGAAATTATATTTTTAGTGAATAACAAGTTGTTTTTCAAACAGTTGGTTTAAAATTGTCTAAGTTAGTTCAACAAATTTAATCAGCGGCAAACTATCCTTATTGAAAAATAAGTAAGAATAAAAACCTTGTATTTATACAAAATAGTTACTTGATACATTTTTAATATAGTCGTCTGCAACTTTTTGTATTATTGAATTTATAGCACTTGTAAGTTGTAACAGAGCATGGAAAAGAAATTTAAAATACCAGTATTGGATCTACAAACTTTTAAAAATACCTATATAGATATTTTTGAGTATATAGAAAATTTTTTATTACAATTTTATTTATTTGATATTTAGTTTATGTGGTAAATGTGTACATTTTTATAATTTTGATTTTTGTAATCTATAAATGTTCCAAATGTTCCAAGAAACGATAAAATATGAGCAATTACCAAAATATAAATATAAATTGTTTAGAATATTTTATAATTTATATAACAATATCAGCATTGATTAAATGTAACTCAAATTATCGAACACGTATAAAAAAATCGGGATTCATTATTTGAATTCTGAATATAATCAATTATATATATGTTTAATGTTTTAATGTTTATAATCTATATATATATAAATGCTGCCAAAAATATATAACAATTCATTAATTGAAAACGGCTGGGCCGATTTGGCTCAAATTTTTTTTATTAATTTTTCGTAATCGCCAGGAGAAGGTTTTTACGAAAATTTTTTTGAAAAACCTCCTTTTTAAAATTTTTTTTTTTTTAAGTTTTTTTTGATTTATTTCTTGAGTTCCGGAATGTTTTTTTTTGAATTGAAAAAGCTACAAAAAGCTTTAGCTTATAAAATTGTCCATATGGCATAATTAATCCTTGAAATGGGGCACCCAGTCAACACAAATAAAATGGATCAACATGGAGAACACGACATATGTTGCGTATTCAATATTAGGTATTAATATTATGTTTCACTATATAAAGTAAAGTTTAAATTTTGTAAATTTACAATATTATAACCGGAAACCGTCAGAAATGTCGCATCGATTGGGCCCAAAACTAGAACGAGTAGATATTGCATAAAAATTCCCAATTTTCAGCCAATTATTTTTTATTTTTTTCCGGTAATTTTAAAAAACAATGGAAATTTTCTATTTTTGACCTCCTAATACCAATTAGATCTAATTAAATAATTCAAATTTGAAACAAAAATGTTTCGTTCAAACTCGATAACAGGCACAAAAATAAAAGATGTCTTTTAAAAACCAAAAGGTACATTCATTTGTTCCACTTAGAATCTAAAATAACAGCCTTAGAGTTAAATAAAATTTACATTTGTATCATGTTACTGAAATTAATAGCTTAATTGACTTTCAATCATTTAAAATTAATTATTATTTGATAAAGACGATTTAATTTTATGTTGTGGCATTTTGTATAAAATGTCATTTAGGTACCTAATTAATTGGCGTATTTTCAGTATAAGAGCAGTGATGGTTCGCAGCCATTTTGAGTGATGAGAAAATGTTTTAGTTAATTTTACATAAGGTAAATTAATAGTCAATGGTTTTTTTTAATCCTCACGCTTCGAAAAAAGTTTATAATGAAAAATAATGATTACATAATTGTTTAATAAATCGAATAAGTTCACAACATAAAACTCAAGGAAAAAATGTATTTACTGATTTACTTATTTCACATTGTAAATCATTAACATTATAATATGTATATACCTATGATATGAATTTTTTTAATTGTGTTTGGTATGTTATTAATTTATTATGTACTCAAAACTCCATTGAATGACAATTTTAAGTTAAAGTGCTATGGACAGAGAGACTAACATACAACGCAGAGTATATTTGATCAGTCCTACCGTATTCAATCATTGTAACAAAATAGAGCCCAGGAATGGAACACTTTTCTTACGTTACGTGCCAAACATCATCTGTTTAAAAAAATTTTTCCCGCTAGACATTAAATTACGAAGTATATTTGTATATATATATAAGAAAAAAACTATGGTCTTAATATTTATTATTAAAAATAAAATATAATATAATAAGTATTTTAATTTTTCGTATGTGAAATTAAATTCACCTATTATTATGAAAATCGGTTATCGAATTTTTTGTAACGATAAATCTAAAGTTTGTGTTAGGTTTTTATCACAGAATTAAAAAATTAAATAAATCCATTTTGCCATTGGGTTAGGTATGTGATCCTTAAAGATCCATCACATTCAATTTTATATATTTCTTTAACAATTAATTATTAATTATTATCTTCAAAAAAATTATATTATCTTTTACCAGATATACTAAGTTTTATAATATAATACATTCAAAATAATTTTTACTATATAAGTATATAAGATGGAAGAATTTCTGACCTCACATTGAAAAAAAAATACAACATCGTAAAAATAACTAATAAAAAGTTGTATCTATATGGTTAGATAAAATAAACAGATAATCTATTGAGTCTCAAGCTGTTTTTGAGTAAAGGAATACTCCATATATTTTATTTAATGCTGTGTCTGTTTTACAACTTACCCAAAGCTTTTTTAGTTTTTTCAGTTTATTTCCAGTATAAATGTACAATGTACAGATTTTAGAATTTCGGATAGATATTTTATTATTTAATTCAAAAACAATAGCACACGCACAGCTAAATTATTATTATAGGTAATTTTGAACTCCTATAGTTTATCATTGATATATTAACATTTTTTTGTACTTTTTGTAGCTATTGCTTATTAGTGAATTTTATTTCGTTATGAATATTCACTTATTCGTTAAAAATGTTATTTGGTTGTCGTTCGATACTTAAATTAACATTATAGGTATATCATAATATGATAGATAGTTCTTTTTTTTTTTGATAGACCCATTGACTAAAAACTTATATGTTTAATTTTGTAGAAATTAGCACGAACAAAAAAACAACGACATCCTTAACAACATAAGATCTAATAAATATTTATTCGACCTGAATTAAAAAAACAATACTAATATCTTTATAAATTGTTAGATACAACAAATTCATATGTTAATGCTTAATAGGTACTTAATATATGCAATTAACATATATGTTATAGTAATAGGATACCTAATATTACAATGTATAAGAATATTTTTATCAAAATGTATAAAGTAACACACTATGACCTTAGGAGCTGGAGACTTAAAGTACTAATAACATCTTTGAATGTGACCTAATTTTAGAGTGGTTATAAGATTTTACTGTACATCATTAATATATTTGAATCATAATGTTGATTTTCCTACCGGTATACACTTTGAACTTTTATAATAATTCAATCATGTATCACAAAATCATACAACACTCACAAAATATAACTCCATGAAAAACACAGATTAATGAATAAAACATATAAGATAGTTGATGTGCAGTATAGCGTAGGTATATAGAGTAAAATAATTTACGTTTGATGTTATAAATTAATTGTAAATTGATTTAACATAAAGTTGAAGTGGATGCAGAATAATTGTTACTTTGATTCATTTCATATTTATATGATATATAAATATATTGGACTTGTTTAGTGGCTTTCAGATGGTGGATATAAAATAATATAGGTGATAAGATTGCTTAATGAAAAAATTATTAGTAAAAATAAATTACCTAATTGTGATAAACGATAATCTGTGTATATTATTTAGAGTTAATAAATAGACAATAGTAAATTGTATAGGCTTATTGCAATGAATCAGAAATTACATTTTTTTTAAAATAATTTTGCTAACCAACCTACTATAAAATAGTGTGAATATTTTTTTAGCATGAAAATTTTTTAATTAATCTAAATATTTCAATGAAAAAATAATGATATTCATATAGGTAGTGTTCATTTTATAAATTTTTATTTAAAAAATTTGAATATTTTGACAAATTTTCTCAACATTTAAACTAAAAAAGAAAAAGAATATATTTTGTTGGAAACACTAAAAAATGTCTAGAAACAGCTTAAAATTTGTCTAAATATTTTTAACATCTATCCCGTTTGTAGAAAATGATAATTTAAGTAATAGTGGAATGTTTCAAGTTTCTCTATTGATATTTTTATAATCGCATCACAATAATTAGAAATGTTTGATAAAAATCTTTTTGTTCCGTTTGAATATCAAATCAATTTTATCAAAATTTATTATTTGTAAAAAAAATGTTGAGTTTATATTTTTGATATTTTTAAATTGCTATAATGAAAACTTATAAGGACCATGTATTGAATTTTCTAACAATAGGTAATAGTATTTTAGAAATTATGAACAACAACATTTAATGTACCTATTATTTTTTGATTTGTATTTATCAAATTTTGTGGTTTTGATAAATTTTATCAAAATTTGAACTTTGAACGATTATGAGTTATTTATTATTTTTATATTATTTTTTTAGAGATTATGAGTGTATTTTCAATATTTTCGACTGTTGTAAGTAAAGCTTACGAGGGACCTGATTTATTTGATTTTCAAGTTATTTATCTTAGAAACAGAAATATGATTAGCATAAATTGAAAAAATTTACTTTTGACTTATGACTTAACCTAACTTTTCCCATTAGGAATGGGAAGTGTGTGTAAATGATAAATATTATAAACTTAAATCAAGTTACCTCAGTAAATAAAAAAAAGGTTCTGGAGCGTGATATATCATCCACATCGTACCCTCCCTCCCCCCAGTAATTACTGTTATTGTAGTAACAAATAAGACTATCACAATATTAATAAAATTAGTTCAATAATTCGTATATTATGTAATTAAGTTGGTTTTTCAATTTTTTTCTGATTTTATTTTGTGTATTTCTTTCTACTGCAACTTATTAAACACAAGCAAAGTACTATCGCATATATATCCAATTTTACAGTAACGTTAAGAAAAGTTCTTTGAATTGAATTCCTGTGTATATTAAATACTTATATAAAATATGGTATTCGTTTAGAAATGAATCAAATGTATACCCTTAAACTTTAAGTCCTTGTTCGAGATTTTAATTAAAATTAGGTACCTAAGTTTATTAATTTTGGATCTTAATAAAATTAAAATTATAAATTATATCAATATGTTATTCAGTGATCATAGGAGATTTGAATATAAAATCGTTTTACTCTTTGAAAATAATAATAAATTGTAGCTCACAACGTTAATTGTTTTTAATTACAATTAGGACGAAGACGACGATATGGATAACGATGATGTTGAAGACGTATCTAACAATAGTTACCGTGTGGCCAAATGGCTGGAAGTACCATGTGACCAGAAATGGATTCCAAGAGGAAATAGCGCTATAACGGTCAGTAGCAACGATACGAGTTACTTGGAAGCTAGAGGATCATCGTTGATTGTTGGACAGCCACCATCTCCGTTAAACCACCCACCACCTGCCGGTTACCCACCGTGGGAGTTCTACTATCCCATTGACATACAAGTTAGTAGATAATACTATGATAGAGCATCCCCAAAACTGCTATGAATACGAACTACGCATATAGTATCTGAAGCGTGTTGAAGTAAAAAGTTGGGTTGTGTAATATCCGTGACCCTATGTGTTACATGTTCACATACAATGTTATGTTGAACATCAGAACATATTATGTTTTGTTTAATTCTAAAATCTGTGTAATGAGTTCATGGTTTAGTCAATGGAGTGCAGCACCTCATACTTTTATTTTAATTAATTAGAATTACTAACCCCTGAAATTATATTTCAAACAATATCCTTGTTGTAATTATAAACTGGCTAATAAATCGATAATAAATACTAATTAATAAATATGTTTAAGGTTATAGGTTACAGCTATTATAGGTAAGAATCATAATTATATTCACATAAATGCTATATAATAATAGTAGGTACCTAAAATGCATTAGTTCGGCACTAACTACTTTTACAATATTACATTATTACCATATATTATTTATCTTTATGTATTCATTATTCTCAATGGAGTGATTTATTTTGCTTCAAAAGATTTTCAATGATTTATTCTCCATTTATGACATAATAATATACAATTCTTTTATTAAGTGTGTAATGTTTAATTAATGAACAACTAAACTTCTTGAATGTTATCATTAATCGTGTAGGAATTTCGATTTATAAACTTCCTATCATGCAATCGCCAATGAACTATGACTAATTGCGTAATTAACATTATAATTATATTTATTATTATTATTATCTTTAGTTGATACGTCTTTAGGTGGTGAAATCCCCTGTTCCTACCTACTTTACAATAAAATCGAAAAAACATTTAGAATTTAAAATTTTTCACCATATATTCATCATATAATTTAATCTGAAATACGTTGTGCTATTTATAGATACTTTCAACTTTCAACTTTCAACTTTTCTAGTTATTTTTTTGATTTATGTATGATAATATCATGTTTGTGTTTGAATAACAAGATTTCCCATAAGTTTTTCATACTCTAATCAAAAAATATTAAATGTTTAAAGTTAAAAACAAATTATAAGCATTTAAAGTTAAAACGTTTACAGAATGCATCAAATTCACAAAAGTTCTCAAACAACTGTAGGTAGAACTTCATAAAGTTTTTAATTTTAACACCCAAGGTTTGTAAATTTAATACAAGATTCTTCATAAGTTTTGATTAGGTATTTGAAAAATAAGATCAACTACTGTATACAGCTACATACATTTTTTATGATGGATTAAATTTTAAATGTGGACGACATTGAATATTCAAACGAATAAAATAACGATTTTTATAATTTTTTTACTATCCAAAAGATATTAATTGTATAACTTGAAACTTTTTCCTATTATCTAAACTATTAATATATACTAAATATATAAATATGTATAGTTAATAATAATTTATTTAAATATTTAATCGAATTTTCAAAATATTTACATTCATTTTAAGCTATTTCTACCATGAATCTATTCATAGCACCGTTCTACGGTATGTCGATATATTGACTTATAAATTATGATGTCCGCTAGTAACATTAAAATATTAATAAAAAATAAACAACTACCTAATAGCAATATAAAATTAAAAGTCCTAATAAAATATCGTTGTAGGTATATATACGGTAATGATAAAGATCACTGCTCAGTGCTCAGAATCGTTTTTCGTATGTAATTATTTATCACTGAGTTAAGATTTAGCACATCCATTTCACTAACTTATCACCCACGGTACAGCAGAGACTTGCTTCGTTTTTTAAATTTTAATCCTCAGTAGAGTATCCGTTATTATTATTTTTTTTTTTAATAGAAAAAATATGATAAAAGACTAAACGAGTAATATATACAATAATATGTCCCTACAGAACCTGCAAAAGAGAAACCATTAGACGGGATGTATCGCGTGGTTTGTGACGAGTTACTTGTCAACTTAAAACAATTTATTATTTGATTGAACCAAGTGTCACCGTGCCGCGGCATTGTTGGTTAGGATTTGATTGACCGCGTGTTTAGTTTAATTCCATTGCTTTTTTTTTCATTATTTGTACACATTTTCAGTGCAAGTAGTATATGTATATAATTTTACAAATGTTAACAATTTAAAAATATCGAGTAGGTACTAGGTACCTTTTGAATACCCTATGTCGTACCTACCTTTATTATATTGTTCTTTTAATCATAATCAAATATTAAATTGCCTATAGACGAATTGAACCAATTACTTTTTTTTTAACGTCAACGTTACCATAATATTGTGCAATGAGCATAAATAGGATTTCATAAAATAAGTTAACCCTAAGGCCTCCAACTTGACTTTTTTTTACGTCGCGTCAGGTGAATAATAAATACATTTTAACATTGCGGGCCAAAATTGTTTTGGAAAAGGGTAGAAATGTAATAACTAGGTAGTAATATTAAAAAGAGAGAAAAATAATTTTATTCTTATTTTATTTTCATTTGAAATTCAATCAATTTTCTCACACTAACAACTCGGATACATATTTAGCTGAGATCTGGGAATTAAATATCAAAAATTTATCAGCTTGTTGAACATGATCAAATAGCTTCACGGTTAAGTTAGATGTTCCTAGGTTAATCTGTATATTTAATTATTATTAAACATCAAAATATATAAATGGAGTCATTAATAACTTTAGTCTTTAAGTAAATGCATCCCTTAACTTTTTTAATTTGCTATATAATATTAACTATAAAAGTTTTCAATCGTAAATATATAAATAGACGATGATCTTTTAGTTAAACTGTTAAAGTCAACTACTTGAACGTCTTAAACGATCAGTTAAATTACCGATTTACTGTAACATAATAAAACTTGTATAATATTATTATACTTAAATATTTCTCTACGCTGAGTGACTACAAGAGTAATTTGTACGTCCATATTATTTAATATTTATAAATCAAAACTTTTTTAATTCAGATGTGTGTGGGACTTATACGAATACTATAAACGAAGACTAATTTATTATAATATATAATCTTCAAATAATTCTAAGGTATCCGCTAATATCATAACATCAAACAGGTACTCTTTTTCCTCACTACAATTAATCCTTATTGAATTTTAAAATTAATCAAAATGTAATTTATTTATTTAACTGTATATTATTGTAACATTTTGATTTGATGTAATAGAAAAAAAATTCATAATTTTGTATGCGTAATTTGATGATTTATTGCAAAGATTAAGTTAAATTGTTCGCCGAAAGTCGTGGAGTCGTAGTAAACGGGTCTGAGGTCCGTTTATAAATATACTACCAATATTATATCGTGAATTATTCATTGGTGTGTTTAGCATTTCTGAGGTATAGGGTAATACCCACACGCAGTAAGCGAGTCATTCCCTTTGGAAACACAAAACAATAAAACTTATTTTTCAAATTACGATTTGGTTAGTATAGGTACTAGAACAACCTTAACATACAGCATATACAATGCATGTATTTCGTAATTTGATCGTATGTATAGAGGCGAATGAAAACATATTATACAAAGTATATAGTACAACAACAAAAATGAACAACAAATATATATATATTATACTACCAATATATTATACATTTTATCGAGTAGAATGATCGATATCCAGGTAGGAGTGCCACTATTAACTTCTACCCCCATAAGCACCATATACACATAATAGCTAGTCTTCACCTCATAACACGCCACTACCACTGGGCTGAAAACTATATTATTATTATTATTATTATTATACATCACGGTAGAAGTCAATAATAATAATAATAATAATTATTTATTTTATATTTTTATTAGACTGGGATTTAGATTCGAAATATATTATGTATAGAAACGTACCTTGGAAAATGTGTGTCAGGGGACGATAATTATTATTATTTTGATGATATATTTTTATTTTTTTGTCAAATTCGATTTTTTTTTGCTCATTTTTCAAGTTAATAGAACGTTTTTACTGTATAATAATATTGGACGTAATTAATTGTTCATTGTTGTACAAAATGTATCGTTGTAGTAAAAACCGACATATATTGTATAGAGGACTATAGGTGCATAGACGTATACAACATAGAATTTAATAGTGGTTAGATAATGTCAGGCATTAATAATGAACAAACAGCTAGTACTCGTCGACCACTATTTTCATATCTACAAATAATTAAAGAGGAGGTAATAATTATATTCACAATGGTAATATTATGCCTAGCATTTCAAAATGTCTTCTGAAAAACTCACTATTAAAGTATAATATGTTATCGTTAAAGCATGAAATGGTGTTATTACTTCGTGAAATATTTAGGTACTTAATACCCTCTAACCATATTCAGGTGATAAACCATAAACTTTATATTTTATAAATTCTCGGTGAACGGTCAGTTACATTGCGTACAAATAAATACAATACTATAATGATTTATAACGACTATGCTTTTACGCATATTAGGTTAGGTAACCTATACGTATCGAGTTGTTAATAATTATTTACATTTTTTAATATTCTTATAATAATGAAAAGATATTTTATGTGTTAACTAAACACACGTAACTCACGCTATAGATGATAAAATAACGGATTTCATACTATAACGGTAACTAAAATAATATTATTATATACAACACGTTTCCGTTAAATATATAATTTACTAAACATTGAGTAGTATATTTTTGTAAATATCCAAGGCGTTTTTGAATCTGTAACATTAAATCATTAAAACTCCACCCTTACCCAACAATAGCAATATTTGCAATATTATTTTAATATTAGTTAGAAGTCGTGATAATATTTGTGCATCATTCATGTCGTTGTATTGTGCCACTGCAGGTGATCCAGCCGACGCCGTGCATGTCGCCGAGCGGCGGCAGCCAGGAAAGTTTCTCGGACGTGCCTAGGCACACTGAACAGTTGCTGCCAGCAGCGTCCGAGAGGTTCCGGAAACCACCGCAGCCGCCGCGGAAGACGGCGTCGTCGTCGACGGCGGCGCCCATCGCGTGCATCCGGACGTCATGCAGCAGCTGCAGCGACGACGCCGCTTCCACGGCCACAACGGTCAACTCGTCCGTGTTCGCCGACGAATGTTGCTGCGCGACCACGTCGTCGTCGCCACCGCCTCAGTTACCGCTGACCGACTGCAACAACGGCGGTGCGTCATCGACGTCAACGCTGACCAATGCCGCAGCAGGAACAGCCGCCAAAGGTGGGCCCATTGACTATATAGATGGAGAGTCAATTTTCGTTTTGACTCGTCAACAAACTATTAATCATTATTGGTTTGATTGACTGTTGAAATAACTTGACTTTTTACATTCCGTTTAAAGAATGACATATAATCTATAGAGTTCAAATAAAAAATGTTTTTGACACTTTTGGTCTTAAACACTGTAATAATTATTATTACCGTGTACGCTGTACACGGTTTTCAACAAAAATAATCAAATACTATAATGACCTACTGTAAGATAATATGTTTCTTATTGATAAAATGTTATTATTTAGTGTACAATAGACCTACTGTATCAGCCAACTTGGCCCGGTAAAAAAAATGAACAAACACAAAATACTGCACTTTATCGGCGTATCTCGGTTTCAGTTCACGGCAAATCGGTATCGGTGTACCTCGCTTTGTGAACTAATTCGACTGAGATGGGAAATCTGCCTGTAGTGGATGTTGCACTTATTGTATAGCACTTGGTTTATTCTCGAATGTGGTTCAAACAACTCTCTAAACTTTCGTGATATCTCTGAAAACAATCTCTGAAATATTTGTTAAAATATATCAAGTAGTTTTTGAGTCTATAAGCTACAAACATAAGAGTTACCTTTTGTTGTATATTTTAAAAACAAACGATAAATTATATATTATTTTATTTTATTTAGATAAAATCTCATATGAACGGTTCAGCTAGTCCATACCAACTTTTAATTCTTATTTTAACATAAATATGTTTTTGGACTGGATACACTGTAAAATGTTTTTGACCTATTTTTTGAAAGGTTTTCATTGCCATAATTACTTATTAGTTATTATCAACAAAAATATACTTATGATTCATAGATTTTCCTTGTACAGGAGAAATATTGAGTATTTCTTTTTTTATAAGAATACAAATTTAATAATATTTGATTTTAGTGAGCAAAAACGAAATTAGTTTATATGAACCATCTATATAGAGGCGACGTATAGGGGTCAAAAATCGAAAGATAGAACACTCCCCGAATCTCAAAGAAAAAATTTGCTAAATTTGCTGTCGATAGATTCTGTAATTTCCAAGTCTATAAGTTCCACACAAACGCACATTTATAGTTTATATAATATTATGAAATAAATAATACTTGCTATATTACGTATTAACCGACTTTGCTCGAGATAAAATGTATTAATTTATCTTTTTCCGTTTTGCTTTAGTTGAAATGTATTATACAAACACAATTACAATAATTAATTGTATGATTTTCCACTTCAGAATTATGGATGTATTTTTCAGATAAACTTAAAAAAACAGTAGACAAATTCAACGAACGCTTAAAATCTGAAGTTAATGCAATATCATTATGGTTGATATGATTCATTTTAATAATTGAATGTGTTATTTTATTATTTACTTCAAAAATATGTCCTGCAGAATTAAAAAATTAAATCAAACGAAATCATTATTCATTATAGTATTGTGTTCGCAACTGTATTATATTTATTTATTTATTTATTTTTTTTTATTTATGTCATATTTCTACGAATTACACCTAGTAGTAACATAATTTGTAACCATTGGCAAACATTTTAATAAATAAAAACATATTAGATTTTCGTGAGTCAAAACTAAATGACTAAGCCTCCTAACAACCTATATGGGTTTAACAAATAAGCTATATTTACACGCTCCGAGTCTCAAGGATATAACTTTTATTGCAAACGGTTCAATATCGAAGGTTTCGAGTTTATACTTTATAGAAGGAAAACAAACATAGAAACATTCATTTTTCTAAACATATATCCGATAGATTAGGTACAAAGTACTCCCCATGTGATCCACACAGGTACTACCTAATTGTTGAAAAAGTAGACACAGACTTTTTCAAACCGAGTTAATGTCTATAATTTTGTCAATGTTATAACTTTAAGCCATTAGCAAGTTACGTAAATTATTATTTACTAACCCGCGCCTATATCTTCGAGTTAGTATTATTTTCTCACTAACTCAACATGCACCTATATATTTGGTTACAGCATCTTGCGGGAGGCGATACTCACCGCCGCCGAACACTAACCGCGGTAACTGCGGTACGCATCGGGTGGACGACAATCGCGACGCGCCCACAACAGTCGGAGGGGCCGCGGTGTCTGCGGTCAGGTCGTATCACGATTTCAACCGCAGGCCGCACAAACCGTCGGCAGTCGGTCGGAACGTGATCGTAGTCCAGGCGGACGTCAACCCCGTGGCCGACTCGATCGTCAACGCCAACTCATTATCAGGGTCTTTACGCGCGCTGTACGACGCGTCTAAAGAAACATTGTTCTAGTTTAAGGCTAAAATACGTCGTGTTATATACCTACGTGTTGTTCGAGAATATTGTCGTATGTATACTTCTTTATGTTGGCATAATATATCGTGTATTGTATAATAGCGATGTACTTGTACGCAAGTATACATATTATAATATTTTAATACACACATATAATATATATATGCAATCAGGGTTACCTACCATTAAGCGTTATATACCTGCAGACGTCCGTATAGGTATATAAAGCGTCGGCAATGGTGGCGGGGAGTCAAGAAAAATATTGGCCGATCAATCACGACAGGGTGATTATTATAATAATTATTATACACCTCACAGCGCACGAAGCAATTCGTTTTCCGTTTAAACAGTAAAAAAATATTGTAACGTCTTGGATTATTTCGTCAGGGCTTGGACGACCGGTCCTCAAATCGTTCCCATGCAGAGGTATCAATATGTAAGCTAGGAAAGTTGTATAGATTTACCCTTTGATACCTCCAATGTAAATATCGATTTAATTGATTGACATAAAAAAAAATGTTCAAAATACATTGAAGTAACCATTCGATATTATTGTAGCCATCGCGATCCCTCGCTTTGGCTAGCAGTGGTTGCGTCGTTTGTACAACCCCCTCCCCCCGTTATACTTACGGTTTTGCAACGACTAATGCCTAAGACCACAATTTTACCTGTCCGAATCGTCGCCAGTACGCAATATTATTATAAAAAACACGAAAACGTCTTCCCGGAATCTCGATGCGTATATGCATATACCTACCATCGCGGTATTATAGGTACCCATTATATGTTAAAGAGTCTATGTATTACAATGGTTATATAGTAGGGCTTGCAAAGTTATGATAACGTTATACATTTTAAAAAAATGATTGACATTTTAAAAAGTAATTAAAACGGAAGACGCGATAAAACAAAAAAAAAAAATTAAACACCGCGAAACAAAACATAATGGTTACCCAACAAAATATTATTTAGAACGTAATTTTAAACAAAAAAATGACGCAAAACAAAAATATAATTAAGCTATTTTATATTTCTCTATCATAAAAATAAAATTTATTTTTCCATTTCTATATTGGTTTAGTGGAAACATTTTTCCACGTGATTTATTTGCATCTTATCTATCCCCGTCATTGAGGCATTATTACTAACAAATTAAATATTGAAGTTAATTTTTTAATCTTATCGGTATTTAATTTATAGCAAATAGAAATTTGACTTATTACACTCTGACACCGACCCCACATCACAATACACATGAGTTTAACATGACGCCGATTACACAGTTGTAGTTCGTAAATTTTTTTTTTTAAATGCAAGCCCTGCTAAAAAGTTCAATCCATCCGGCTTTGTAGATAGGTATAATTATTTATCACTAACCTAAATAAATATTATTCGTTGGTTCTACGCAACATTAGTGGATTCGTCATCTACTGTGAAAAAGCTATTAATATTTCAACAGAAACACTTCGTCATTACGGTATAAATAATATATTGTGCCGGTTGAAAAAAACTTAAAAATGTGATTGTAAAAATATGGAAACCAAGTAAATAATAATATTATCTGAAGAAATTAATCAATCCAAATTTAGTAAGAAATTTTATCCTAAGAATTGGTACTGTATTGTCGATTTGATATTGTAGTCAATTAAGTATCCAACTGCTTAAAATGTATATAATAATATTTTAATGCGATGAAGACCTTACTGCGTATACACGAATAATACATATTTTGCCTCCGACTTTATTCAAACAGATTAAACGATTTGCAATTGGTTTCCGTTTTATAATATGATATGACATCTTCAAAGGTTGTTATTTTTAAGTTTGATTTTTCGCTTGGCCGGTTTTTTTTCTCAGACACCGTGTTGATGAAGTCGGGATTCAAAAATATTATTCTACGACAACCACATAGGAACATTATTGAATATCACTCGCTGTCTTTATCATATTATTTATATTATTATAGCTAACCTATACTGACTATACTGCTGTAGCGGGTTATTAAAAAAGCATAATATTTCGAGGAAAAGGCCCGTCGTCTCTGCTGCGGGGTGTGAGATGTCATAATTAATTACCCGGCGGTCACACCCTCCAACCCCTTCCCTCACCACCGTTTAAGAGATTTGTTTCACGATAAATCATCTTAGAACGATAATAATAATATACAACGCCCCGTTATGGTTAAATTTTGTATAAAGGCTAAATAATATAATAATATACAAGTTTTGAAATCGTATATTCTCGAACGGGATCTGCATGTGAATTTTGTACAATATATAAATACAGACAACGAATAGCCTTCGTGCATTATAATATAATGATAATAATAATAAAAATATAGTCATATATAGATCGTCTGATAAAGAATATAGAATTATAATAAGAGTGTGTACCTTGCGCGTGCGTTTATAATATACGTATAGTACATTATTATGTCTTAGTAGAATACTGCCGTACAATATATATATATATATAGAATATATCTAACCACATAATATGTTGGTTTCCACGTCTAAAACAACTTTTTTTTCAAATTAATATTCTCGTGTTAATGTTATATTATATAGGTAACTGTGTTTTCATGATATCCACGGCTGGTTTTTTTTTATTTACCGATGTATTTGACAGTGTACAAGTCAACACGTACATTATAATTTATAAGTAACTATAAGTACGGGTAATTATGCGTAAGTAAAAAATTTGAGTAGAATGCGATTGCGTACCCTGTGATTATTCGAAGAATTTATTTCGTATGTAACAAGATTTCGTACCGAAAAATAATTTTGTGGGCGATGTTGCCAAATCTTACAAAACATATTACAGTTATATATAACTTAGAAAATAAAACAAATCTATAGAACAACAAACGAAGAAGGAACAACAGCCAATTCCATATAATAGTTTCCATTCAACACGTGTAGCAATATTAATGGAGATCATGTACGTAGTTAAATGTGTGTTCAAACATGTGTTTATCTAACCATTATACGCAATACTTAATCATTTGCTTTTGAATTTAACATTCTTTTTTCAAAAATTATTTTGATAATGTTGAACCACAACATTATACCGACTACAATTATCGAGTGAAGTAGAAATCAATTCATTTTTACCCTTAGAATTTAGTTTGATTTGTTTGACCTGTCAACAAAACATTTAATTCGACCGTGTTATTTAAAAAAATGTATCATTTTAAACTGTAAAGTTTAAAACGTGAGTTATTTAGTAATTATATGTAATTATATCATACTTAAAAGTATTCCTTTCCAATTCTTCAAAATATATAAAATGTGTCTCGTGTTTCTAAAAAAGCAATTTCATACATGCAAAATATAGTTGGGTACCCAAAAAAACGTATATATAAATAATGGTCTTAAATGGATGGGTCGAGCACACGAGAATATTAGATAGATAAAATATGGTGTTTTTTCTAGAAGCATAATGATGTAATAAGTTAATTTAAAAGCCGTTCAGAATAGGAAGTGCAAATATCGTTAAGTTCCTGTTTAATGTATACTTATCTGTATAAATGTTAAGTGAAATCTCATGTTTAACTTACACAATTGTAAATCTATAGTAGTGTACCTGCTCCAAGGAAAATTATTTGATTGAATATCTATAAATATATTATATGAATTAGCAGCGTGTTACAACTTTAAATTTAAAATTAAGCTATTATAAGTGTCAATGCTAGTACATTCGACGTAACGAATTTAGGTAGGTATAGGTTATATTATATCTCTTGCCGAATGAAGGATATTATTATAACCAATTAATTTTAAGTGCCCTAATGTTTGTGTTATTTTAATTAACCACCTGCAGTGGTATGATAATATATGTTACATAGGTTCAATAAAAGTAATAAAAAAAAAAAAATGTTATAATCAAATTTAATTTGTTGTGTTTGTTGTATTAACTTATCTGAAGTTCACACGTTACATAATATTGTTGTGTTGAGTACAGGGTATTTTTTGAGACACAAATTTAAGGTTTGCATCGAAAAGGAACTAACAAAATATGTTAGCTATCATATTAACGCGGTATGCTTGTTATGATTTGTAAGATTTTGATGAATGTCGTCTCAAATTATCCGAGTAAATACTCTTAAATTATTCTTTTCACAATGCAGATGCCTAATTTGCATAATACAATTTTTTAAATGAAAAAAAACTATTTTTTATCTGTACGAGAAACTCTTTATGACTACCAAAAGGGCGTATATAATATGAATTATGAATAAATAAAGTTCTTATTTGTTAAGTTTTTTTTTTAAATATAACATAATATGTATTATAATATTACGATGTACACGTACGTCTTGTATATGAAGAACCTAAATGTGTTCGGCACGAGAAAAAAAGCGGTATAGTTTTGTATCACGTATGAATGAATAGTTCGTTTTTCGTATTAATTGTATTATAATATATTATTATTGTATGATAATTAATATACTATCGTATAGTTAAGCATTGTTTTTTAAACGAATAAAATGATAAGACGTTCATGAATATAGGGTACCACCTGGAGCGCTTTGTTCGAAAAATATGTAAAACCGTTGAATTTCAGTAATCATCTACTGTACATAGTTTTGTTGCTTTCTCGCTCTGTACAAGGGTCGTCACGTTTAAATTGTGTTTGTGAGATGTTAGTAATGAAATAATTTTTAAATTATATTTTATAATAAATTTGTATAATAATATATACGATTTGTTGTGTTTCTATTGAGTGTTATAACCATGGTAATATTTTAGTTGTACTAAATATACTAATATGTGTGTAAATTATAATGCTTACCCGTACAAACCATTTTTTAATAGTACACAGTATAAAGTTTATAATTTATCCGTAGAAATTGATTCTGATTGTTTTTGTAAAGATAAACTGAGAAATTATTGTTAATCCTTTGAATAATAAAATAAAATCATGTACTTACAATACAACTCATTTATTTATTTGTTTGTTTATACGTAGTACAAAATATTTTTATGTCTAGAAACCAGTATAATTAATTTGGTATTATTTTTACAGGATCGATATAATATTATTAAAAATAATTGTTCTAACTTTTATGTTCCATACAATAATTTCGATAACAACATTAGAACAGTAATAGTAAAAATTATGATTAAACAGCTTTTATGATTTAAAATAAAATAGTGTATTGTCAACCATTATGAGTGTATTTGTGTATTGCATTTAAATCACTATGTAATAGGGTGACTATTTTAACAATGGACATTGAAAAGTTATTGAACAATTTTAAGATGCACCTACCTACTAAACAAGATAGACATGAAATTCTAACTTGCATGTAGCAGATTTTCGCAACACTTATAATAATTTTTTCATAGGTAAATCAAATCAACTTTGGATTTTTAATCTCATAATTTGCATTAGTTTATTTTTCTAAATTGTTGATGTATAAATAATCTGATACGATTAATTTTTTTTTTTCAAATTTATTTACAAGAATTTTAAATTTAAATAGATTGTGCAGGCGTCCATATCTTCCAATTTGCTTATATTTGAAATCGTAATAAAAAATAAATGTATATTTCATTAAGCTTATAAATTATAAATTCATTATTTGGAATAAAAATATGATACCTGCATAAATATTTTATAAAGGTTTTTTAGTTCAAATTATGAAATGGGTTCAATTTAAATATAAGGCACTAAATAATAGCAGGAAATAATTTTAAATTTTAGACATTTTAAAAATTGGTCACCTGCAATATGCTGATCATGCAATATTCGTAACGAGGTACCGTCATTTTTTTTTATCGGATACATTGTAATTTTTAAATAAATTTATATTTAATATATAAACTCTACTCTATAAAACACTCCTATAAAAATGTGTATAATATCTAGAGTATTTAAGTATTGACATGTCACATGATTTGACAGCATGGTATTTTGATATATTCCTGTACATAAAACAATGTATGAGAGATGTCTTATGAACAATGTACTCAGTATAAATGTTGTTACTGTATTATATTATACTAGCGAAACTACCTTAAAATTGTTGTTATTACAACACCAGTCTTCTCAGTAAGGCTCAGTAGTCAGTGAGTGTTCTTAAGATAACTGTAAATGAGCAATATTATTAAATTAATAAATAAATATGCTGACTACAAAGCAACCCGCAAATCGTGGAAAACTGGCACAGCCATTTCAAGAGCAGTAACAACAATTCGATCCGCTGCCCGTGAACGGCACTGTGAAAGCCAACCCTTCGATAGGCCATCTCTTATACACCTTGCCAGTGATCCAGGGATACTCTCAAGATACAAGGACCATCGACAGCGGTCGACGAAAAAAGGACAATCGATCGTAACACGCGGGTACTACTAGATTTTAGATCTTTTCTTATCCTAGCGTTTATATAATATAGAGTAGATGTTTTTTTTTCATTGACACACCACTAGACCGCATATTAGTATTGGTTCCATCGCGAGCCATGACCTTATTCTCTAACAACCTCCTTAAGTAGGTACCAACTAAATCCCAATAATTGTACCAGGACCCCTCAAAATTCAAGGTTTTAGATTTTGCTCAAAAAAAAAAACCCTAGACAAAAAATTCGAGCTGATTATTATTTCAATTCAACATTGATCTGCTTCGAGGTGAGTTATCTTATCTATTATATATATAATATATTTTATTTTATGTAATATGTAGTTATTCTATTTCCTGTCTGCACTTTGTATTTGTATACAACTGCAGTATTCAAATTATGCATTCCTCTAGTATGTAGATAATACTATGTAGGTAACTAAATATTTTCGTTTATATATATACAGTGTGATAACGATTTAAGGTAACACTTAATATTTCGGTCAGATGAACTTGTATTAAAATCAATTTTTTGGGGGGGCCTAGGAGGTATTGAGATATATATTTTGTGACATTTTCACATTTTTAACACTTAGGGTGCGCTCATGTACAATACAAAATGTATTTTTTTTAATAGTAACACCTATTATTAGCACATTATTTGGATTGACTGAATTTTTCAAGTCGATTTGACTTATGATACTTGGCTCTAAGTTCGAAATTGATTGAATGACAGCCATTATTTAATTTTAAAAAAAATGTTTAATTTATCTGTACAATTTATTAATTTTAGGTCCATGTATGTAGTTTTCTTTTTTTTCATTAAAAATTTGACTTCAACGCAAAAATCTTCACTTCCTTTAACACAACTATATTTTAAATCTTTATAATTAATTGCCGGACATCAAATTATGTATTAAAATGTTAAATATTAAAATGGTCATTTTATTGTTAGTGTTTATTTTACTGCATTAATAGAAATAATAACAATATCCAGTACTACTACTACTATTAATTATAATAATAATAATGATAATAATTATAATTATAACATTTTGATGAAAAAAAAAATTTTTTTAAATGATATACAGTTAAATTAAACATTTTTTTTCAAAATTGAATAATGGTTGCCATAGTGTAAATGACATTCATTTAATTTTGAACTTAAAGTCAAGAATTATGAGTCAAATCGACTTGAAAAAATTTGGTCAATTCAAATCATGTTATTAATAGGTGTTACCATTATAAAAATACATTTTGTATTGAACATGAGCGCACCGTAAGTGTTAAAAATTTGAAAATGTCACAAAATATCTATTTCAGTACCTCCTGAGTTCCGCCCAAAATTAATTTCAATACAAGTTCATCCGGCCGAAATATTTAGTGTTACTTTAAATCGTTATCGCACTGTATATTACTATATTATACTAGGTACATCAAAATATTGTATAAATTATTGATCTGAATAATTTGATTACAACAAATATATTTACACGTGATTTTATTGTTTATTTTTGATAAGTTTTCATGTTTATATTTATAATATAATAATACTACCTGTCTTGCGGTATCATATAAATATCAAAGTAAAAGGCCAAACAATATATGTAATCTAGCGAGGTATTGCATCAGTTCTTAGACATTAATATTATGTTATAAATTACTAAACTATTTTATAATTCTTTACTAATATCATTATACAGTGCACCATCACCTTATTAATCCTATTCTTAAGGGAAGTATATGTCGATTGAACCGTTTATAAAACGCAAAAGGGGTATCAGTTCAAATATATTATAGATAATGACTATGAAAGTACTGACATGTTAGACCTAAGGACCACCCAATAATATATGGTGGATAATTAGGCATAAACGATTTGAGTCGCATTTTGTAATACTTTGGTGGTAATCGTTTTATAATTGTATGTATTATACTTATATATACTTACTATTATATCTTGTAAGTTTAGGAAAATTGTATTGAATAGAATTTCTTACTTTTCGAGATTTTTATTTTTCACTGTTTTGGCTCCAGTTTAACTGCCGTCTCTATAATGCATGCGCATGTATATTGTATATATTATATTATAATATTGCTTTTACAATAGTATATTAACAATATATATTTATATTTTAGTTCATTTTCTCTGTATCGTTTTTGCAAGTTTTTCGTATCTATGCAACGATTTGTCATTGAATTCAAATATTTTAACCATAGACCTTACACAGTTATACTACTATACGAGCAATAAGTGTATGGAAAACGTACAAACACAGAAGGTGCTTTATGATTACCCGATTACTCGTACGTACGGTAGAACGGGGTAGTAGGGTAATATGTATATATTATATTATACAGATTATTGTATTTTTACATTTTTATTGAAGACAGCTTATGCATCACTGCCAAATGTTGTTACGTAGTTATATGGTGTTGTTGTACAATATACCTACAGAGTTCTTGTCTAATAGAATAAGCCATAAGCGGCCTATGATTTTAACACATCTATTATCGGGACTACAAATGAATTTTTACCCACATTTTATACCTATATTGCACAGCAGATCATTAATGCATTCATATTATTACCAATAAAATGTCTCTATTGGATCATCATAATTTTCATTTTTAATCATTAACAACAACATGGAATCAATGATAATATTATTTTGCCATAAGGCGATGTATATTAATTAATTTTGTTTGTTGATAAGATCCACATAACACAATTTTCTATCAACTGATTATATTATTTAGGAAGTACAGACGTATTATAGATAAAAACGTTAATTAAGCAACACAATATCTTATCACTTTCGTTAGGTTGAATACCATAATATTGCTGATATAAAAACCCGATGTCTTACCAGCCATTTCGTTTTAAATTATTATATAGTGTATTCTATAATATTTATATTTACTTAAATTGATCAGATTCCGAAGTTTTTATTTTCAGTTTATTATTCGAAGCAGTTTTGAAGATTTTACTGCAAGAAACTACGAAGATTTCTACATTCAAACGTAATACAATTTTATTTTATTATTATAACTTAACAAACTAAGCTTCGTGAATAAATTAATTACCATTTGGTAGTTAACAAGTTCACGCAAAAATTATTAGGTACTACATTATTGGTCAGGTTGGACAACAATTTCGATAAGATCAAACATATTAATCATGTTTATCGGTTCATTTTGTTATCGTTTTATTATACTATTTATACTGTTCATGAGTTCATTGTAATAGTACAGTTGACGGTTTAACGTGTTAAAAAATATTTTAAATCATAACTGGTTGTTGTTTGCTTGTTATTTGTTTTAAGCTTAACAATTTTTTCTTTCAAGATGTACTTTTTGATATAAAATAAATCAAACTAATTAATTTGAAGTTTATAATTTTAAATGGGTCCATTTATAAAATAAATTTTAAATTGTATGTTTTATGATTAGCATTGAACAGTTTTAGTTCAAAAACATAGACAACATACTAAACATTAAGCTATAAATACTTTTAAACTAAAAGAGACATAATATCATGAAGACTTTAAGAAAAAATATTTCCATGAAATTGGTAAGTTTTGTACTTTTATCCCATTTTAGTCATTTATTATTAATTATGGACTAAAATAATCAATTTTTAAATTTTTAAGTAGATACATAACTATTAAAATTAAAAAAAACATTGATTTTCAAAACAAAATTGGCTATAGATATTTAAAACTTTACTTAAAATATTAAGTACATTTTATTCTATTATTTTAATCATTTATCAAAAGGATTGATATTAATTGTTAAGTTATTAAAATATTGACAACTATACATTTAATATTCTTTTTTCCTTAAACAGTTTTTTAAAATAATATTATAAAACCTAAATTTTGTAAAACCTTTTACTTTCACAGTTTATAAACTCTCTATGAAAACTAATTTACGATCGTTTAATATTACATACTAAGTACATTGTCTACTAAATGTTTGTATTATATTTGTATATTAATGATTTATGTATCGTCAAGTAATTATTATGATTATCTTAAAAAATAAAAATGTAATGCGGTTATTTTGTCTTGAGAACGGCTAAATCTATTTTGCCAATTTAAAAAAAAATATGTTTGTAATAGTCCAAATGAGGTTTTTAAGAAAAGAAAAATTAGAAAAGTTACCCGGAAAATTGGAAAATTGGAATACCTAACAGAAAATGTTTTTCTGACTGACTGCCTGATCAACATAGAGCATAAACTATGTTATCTGGAGACTTGATATTTATATGGCATACCTTAGTGGCTTAGTATACCACCATGTAAGAGTGCACTATAAGAAAGGATTTTCCAAAATTCGTATTTTAATGAGGTGCTCACACTAGGGTTCTAAGACTTTTCAGATCTAAAATGAAAATTGAATATTTTTTTTTTGTTTATAAATGGTTTCCATTGATTACATCTTACAGATTATAATATTAATAGTAGAAATAATTAGAGAAAATAATTTTTTTTCGTACATAAAATATAAATGGTTATTGGTTGCCATTAGTTACTCTGGTAGATGAGGTAAAAGCATGCATCAAATCTTTGCGTTTATGACCTAGGATAAATAAATCTGAAAACAATTTATTGATATTGAGTGTTGAATGTATGGTTGACGTTTTTGTACTCAAAAACTACTTGACCAACTTAGTGAAAATTTTAAATTGTTTCTTAGATAGTAGTTTGAACTACGTTCGATTTATACTAAGTGCTATTACAATCCTCTACAGGTGAATTGTCCACCCCGGTCGAGTTAATTCAAAAAGCAATATACATCGATACCGATTTTTCCGTGAACTAAGGTGTACTAAAACCAAAATACATAAAATATAGTGGCACGTATATGTCTATTTAAACCTATATTTTATATTTTTTCATAGGAAAGTCAAAACTACTAGCATTTAAAAAAAAAGTTGCTTTGATTTTGGCTTGTTCACTATTATATAACATACTGTTGGTATGCAATAAGTTAATAACAATAATAATGAAATATTATTATTGATTTATTTATTAAATGATTTACACCCACAGGGGTTACAAGTACAGTTAATATGATAATAAAATATTAAACATAATATGAATTCCACATAATTTATTTATACTAATAATATAATACATTTATAGCGCAATATTTTAATTTTATCTGATTATTTATAGAAAATCAAAATCTTTTAAATCATTACAGAAGCTTAACATTCATATATAGGACTTCTTAGAGCAAAATTGTTCACTTGTATTCTGGTATATAAACCACGACAAATATGTTTGATAACTCGAAGTTAATTAAAAAAGAAATTGCATCATCTGTAATACATTTGAACTGTCAATGAGGCCATTAAAATATTATATACCAACAAACAACACTTTGGTAATAATTTAATACTATATAATTTTGTAAAAATGATGTGAGAATTATTCTCAGATATTATATAACATATTATATCTATGTTGTATTCTATTTTAAACCATTAATTAAGTAGTATACTTGACTATTTGAGTGTGGAACTTATTTCTATAATGAACATAATATATTATTATCGATGTATTTTTTTAATACACATTTTTGAATGTCCTCATTAACAGTCCAAATGTATTGTAAATGATCTCTTTTAATTGACTTACATTATCTTATAAAAAATAAAATTTTAATATGTAATGTCATATAAATATTAATTACTATAATTTTCAAAAAATCATAGTCCCGTATATTTTACCCTAATGGCCTAATACCATGGATGAACTATCCTAAGTAGTCTTAGTAGTTAGTCCACGTGTACTAAACTTTGTAAAAACTTTGATAATTTAAAAATTTAAATTTGTATTTAGATACATCGACATATCCGCAGTAGAAACGAATAAATATTAAATATAGTTTGATCGTTTAGGATCAATACTGTTAAACATTGACTCTGTCTCGGTGATGTGTCGACTATTAGAGTATAATAAAGAAAATCATGAAGGGTAATTTTAATGAGTAAGAACTTCTCAGAGGACTGATCAATATTAGATGAAGGACACAAAAAATAAGGTTTTAGTTTTCCTTCAAATTTTTATGTTTTTACCAAAATATAGTAATGTATTATATTATGATTTGAGACAGTGGAACTAAATAATGCCATTGTAGAACAATACTGCTGGGTAATACATTTGGAGATGAGTTTCATTCAAATAACTGATCTAATTTTAAAAATAATTTAGGCACTTATGCATTACTCATTTTGCAGGGTTATTAAAATTCCATAAACAAAAAATAATATTTTTTAAAAATGTTCTACAGCATACGATATTTGTCATATTATTGTGGTAGCAGTAAATACATTAAAATAACAACAATTAATTTTTAAAATTCAAAATGTCAATGTTAAATTCCTTATCAGCTTGTCTTATTCATATTTTATATGATATTCAGGACTAGATAATAAACGAAGAACTCCAGCAGTTTTTTTAAATTTTAAATTGTATTCATATTTCTATGGATAATTTTAAAACTAAAATTCCATGTACAGTATTTCAATTTGTTTTTTATTCTCTTTATAATAATCAATGACACAATCGAAGGCTATTAATAAACCTACAATATAACCTACTTCTGTAGTTGTGTTATGCATGCGCATTTTTCACGTGTTCGCCTGTACAGATCGTTATCATTAAACACGTGATGTATTTTATTTAAATGTAAAATGATAATCAATTTAATGACCTATAGGTAAGCTTAAATAGGTAGTAAAATATTTTCTTATTTTTATTTTATATTTAAATATGTAGTATTGTATTATAATAATTATATAATAGTATATAGTGTAATTGTGTAATTTGAATTTGAAGAAAAATACGTACCTCGTAGATAATAATATGTACAAACTTATTTTTTTCATGTATTTGACTCTAATTAATATGATCTTCAATTAATTAAGCAATATTACGAATTAATTAGATGCTAAAATTCAAAATAGTAATATTGTGATCCAACACTTACTTAACGATCGTTTTTCGATTAATATTATTGTTATTTTAATTATTTTTGTTTTTTTCTTACAGAATATGGCGCAGTATCAACTATATTCGTCCGCTAATGAACCAGCGTCAGTGGCTCATTGTCCAATAGATCGTCTAATTCCTGAGTATAGTCCTGAAGACCCACAACCGTCACACAATCAAAACAGTGCTATGCCGTTTACAATTGATTATTCATATTTCATAAATGACATTTCGTCTAAACGACAGCCGTCTCTACTTCGAGAAATTAGTAACTATAATGTTGTGATTGATGTCAGTGGCTTATATGTATTTACGATTTAGCCTATTTCAGCCTACCTATTATTTAAAAGATTTTTTTGCATTTCAAGAAAATATTTGGTCATATTGATGGATATTTTAATAATGCAGAACATACACACGTCTATAATGGTAGCTCTTCAAATAGTAACTGACAAAAATTAATGAGTTTTTGATAAATACATACCCCCCCCCCCCCCCCACATAGACAAAAACCTAAATACAAAACCCTGATTGATATATTGTGTGTTGTAATTGCAGCAATAAAAGACTTTTTTAAATGTAACACACTTATTGAATGTTCTTTCAGCTAGAGTGTTGGAGAAACTACCAAAAAGCTGCATAAAATTCGGCGTAGGAGTACCGAACGTACTAACATTTCCGTTCAAGAAAATTAGCGTGGAACTAATTACTGGAGAGAATATTAAACTTCAAGGTCAAGAACTCTCTGATGCCTTGCAATATCTGCCATCGGTTGGGTAAGCTTATTTAAATTTTTTTTTTATTATTCAATAGAAAACAATACATAATTAATCACATAATATGCTAGTTCCTACAAATCAAACTTTTAAGTTTCCGAAAGCTTTTAATATTATTTACCTAAACAATTGTATTCATTGACGAATGACCAAAAAAAAACAAATACATTTTGAGATATGAATTTGATATGAATACGATAATTCATACTTCAGATTATTTGGTTATAAACATTTATTGTATTATAGGTAATTATATAATCACGTGAATATTTAGATTAATTAATAAAATCAGTGTGATCGAATTAAGTGTCGTGTGGTTACTGATAGATAAAGATTACAAATCAAAACAACCGGATTGCATGCAAGGTATAATTTTGGGATGTCCGCTTCTGTGTAGTGTGGGTTTTGACCTAAAGACCATTATGTCATTTATAAAAAAAAAATAACGATTAGAAGCCTGACGCAATAGACTAAGACAATTTAATAAGATAGACATAATGGATGATTAAAATAACTAAAAAAATGGCTTAAATTCGTTCTAACTATCAGCATTAAACATTTTTTCCAAAAATTATTCATTATAATATTTAATGTATACCTACTTATAAGATTTAATTAGAATTTTCAATTTTCAATTTTATTTTTCGGATTCGAATGTATCGTTATTTGTAAACTCATATTCTAATTTATTGTTATGTATTCAAATTAGATATCGACCATTGATTAAAATATTGGAAGAAATACAAGACAGGTTTCATGGACCTCAATGTTGGAATAAAAGAAGTATCATTATGACATCTGGCGCACAAGAAGGATTATCAAAGGCTGTGGACATGTGAATGCGTTGCAACGACTCAGTGATTATGCCTGATCCTGTTTACACGGGAGCCGTTGACTTGGTAAAGCTATCGATACCTTAGTACCTTGCCGACACTATGCATAGATATTAAACTTTGAAATCATTATAATATAATAAATTATATCTATATATATATATACATCTTGCAACTGAAAAGTTATTATTTAAAATGCTAAGCTTACTGTAGACTGTATTTTTAATACCTCACTAATTACCAATAAAATAATAACTCATCTTAATCTAAATAATATTCAACATTGAAAATAATTTATGAAGTAACTCATTTTAATTGTATCATGAAATCTTATAGTAACCATATATTTACAGTTCAGACCATATGATGCTGAGATCATACCGATAGTACAAGATTCTTGTGGTATGGTGGTGGAAGAAATTGAGAAAGTTTTAGTTGAAAGAAAAAGAAAAAAGATGCCAATGCCCAAGGTAAGCTACTAATATATGTACGTTATAATGTATATAATGTGTATTATGTAAATTCTAGGGGTCTTTGACCCTTATTGCTTGTTACACTCGACAATCACACTAGATTTTGCCAACCTCCGGAATGTTTTATCTAAAATTATTTTTGTATTTCAATACTCATTTATACCTATTTATAATCTGGCATTTTTCGATATAACAATTACGTATATTATAATTTATAATCAATAAAAAATAATTCAAAAGTGTATCTATTTAATAAATATATTATATATCATATACGTTTATATCAATAGCATCTAATATTCTAAGCGTAGAACATAAACTACAGAAATATCAAAATTTTAAATTGTGTATTTGCTTACACTTTTGTTTTCTCAAAAATTGTATCAAAATATTCATGTAGTGTTAAGTTAGGCCTATTAATAGGAAATCAAACAATCGCAATTTAGGTAGTTACTTAGTCAAAATAAGAAAACCATAAACAGACTTTCTGAAAAAACTACTTTGGTAGTTGGTTTTAGGATTTTGAGTGAAGCAACGAATGTATTGATCTTACAATAATTATTAATTAATGTGTGATCGAGATATATAGTGGAAAAAATTCTCAAATCTTCATCTATGAGGGTGGTTTTTGATAGAAAATTGTATCTATAGTTCCCAATAGGTACTTCGTTTGACTTTTAAGAGGTAAAAAAATAAATAATTCTTAGTATTTTTCTTAAAAATTTTCGTAAAAAACAAAAACAAAAATGACAAAAAACGGAAATTCTTAAGCAATAAAAATGAAGAGTTACGATGTTAGTTATTAATTATTACTTTTAATTTGTTGAAATCCTAAATTATTTTTTGTCGAGTTTTGAAACTTTTAACTTTAAAGTAAATTATTATGTTTTATACACGAAATTACATTTTTAAAACATTCAAATTAATTGTAAAATATTGCCTATTTATAGTATATACCATATTACTAATAGTTAAATAAATTACCTACTATAATTAATAATGACTAGTAATATCTATAATGTATGAATATGATAATAGGCTTACAAACCGACTCCTCTCAGAATCTTTTTTCGTATAAAATGTATCTTCTTCTTCTACTAGAGCTTATAGCGGTCCATTTAAAACCATCGTCGCTTCTAACACGCTCTTCCACCTTCCCTGTCTTGGAAATTTTTTAATTTATACATTTTTCCTTTCCATGATTTATCATTGAATAAAAATTTAACACATCCATTAGTTAGTCATTGCAGTGACCTACTCAATGATAAGATACACTTTTTAAAGGCTATAATAATAATACTGTCACATTAAAATTAAAAATTACAATACACCTTTGTCCTATCTCCAATGATTAAGTTAGACAATTAGCCAATTTTCTATAATAATCCCACGCACAATGTTTATAACAGATTATTTATGTGAACCCTACTGCAACGAACCCTACAGGAACTACATTACCCACTCACAGGAAACGTGAAATTTACCGATTGGCTTGTGAATATAATATGCTCATTCTTGAAGACGATCCATATTACTACTTACATTTCGAAAAAGTAACTTTCAACACTTTTTGTTAAGATTATTAATAAACAATAATCGATTAACTGAAATATGGTTTTAGGAAAATCCTGTAAGTTTTTTGTCTATGGACACAGAGGGCAGTGTGCTTCGATTCGATTCGTTTTCGAAAATCATGAGCTCTGGTTTACGTGTTGGATTTGTAACCGGACCCATAACGTTACTGCATAGAATGGAACTACACATGCAAACATCATCAATGCACACTTCATCATTATCACAAGTACTTTTATACAAGCTCCTATCACAATGGGGCGAAGATGGTTTGATTTCTCATTTCATGCATATCAGAAACTTTTATAAGGAAAAGTTGGATTACACAATGTGTGCAGTTAATAAACATCTTCGAGGTAAGCAATCATTGTAATAAATAATTAACCTTAAAAAAGTATAATAAAATTTGAAAAAAAAAATCAAAATATAAATATTGTCAAAAATTATGAACGAGTTTGAGGGATCTAGTCGAGTGTACAGCCTGTTTACCGTTCCTTGCTAATTTTTTTTTAAATTTACAGTTTTGATATTCTTTTCTGCAAAAAACTGATTTTGTTCTGCAATGACTCATGACATCTAAATTTGGGGATCTGAATAAGTCTCAAATCTAAATTTCTTTCAATCCTTTCAGTCAATAAACTTCAATTACCAACCAAAGCTCTGTGATGCGTGTTAGTAACAACACCCTTCATAACGATTTCAAAATACCTAGGTCCTCCACTCACTTAAAAAAATTCCACTCCAACACTTTAGCCCACTCAAATCTCCTGATATCAAATTGCTCTTTTATTACTTTTGGACACGTGGCTTTCCAAATAAATAATTAAAATAAAAACAAGCTATACAAATTCAATCAAGTTGAAATAGCATTAGTGGACGCACGCTCTCCTCATTCAAGCCGCCAAACCTTGTACATTTTTTTATATATTTTATTACTTATTGTATTTTCTATTGTATTTTCTATTGTACAGATTGTAAATATTTGTTTTTCTTAATAAAAGAAAACAAATTAACTGTTTTGGGGCACTAACAAATGTTCTGGGGTAATTAATTGGTATCCATCAAAAATAGCGAAGTAATAATCGTCAAATAAAATAATTGAAAACTAAATAGTGAAAGTATCGACAATGGAATAACAACCACTAAGTAAAAAATAAATAAACTTTATTTTGGATAAGCGAAAAAGGCGAAATATATCGACAATAATATATATTTATACAGTGATTGGGTACCTACATGATTATTAGGAAATAAGTCATTGGTAATATTTAATCCTGGACAGTTATAAATAATAATAAAATATATATGTGACAAATAATAATTATAAGTTATACGTTTATAATACGTGTATAGGTATATAAAACTATTTAAGTATGTATTTACTAAATATGAATTTACACAGTTTTTCAAAATGTATTAAGATATTTTAAGGTTTTACTCAAAAAATGACACCACATAAGACGATTATTTGTATTTAACAGAATAACCGTTAAATCTTATTAGTAAAATTGTTAGGACTTTTATCTCAGAAATTTTGTTATCATAACAACATCCTATTAACCTAATAAATTTCTCTAAGCAGGACTAGCTGAATGGTACGAGCCAAATGGTGGCATGTTTCTGTGGTTGAAAATAATTGGACTGAACGATGCCAAACAATTAGTCGGTGATAGATGTTTGGGTAAATTAATACTTTTAGCTCCTGGATATGCGTTATCAGCCAATGCTGAAAATCCAAGTCCCTACATTCGACTTTCGTATTCCATTGCATCGCCAGAAGAAGTTGATCGAGTAAGTGTTATTTTTTTCAAAAAAGTAATTTTTGCAATATTTATTTTAACTTTTTGTATTCGATGTATATTACAAACAGTACCCACGCCCACTACTATATGAGACAAATGATAGTTATAGTTTAAAATAGGTTTGTATAGATATGTAGCAGCCACTTCGTGAAATCAATTTCAACATAGAAAGGTTTTTGGGATGAATACAACTTTTTTTCGAACCGATTTTGAGTAACGTCTTTTTTTGCCATAGAAACGCAAAATTAATAAAAAAAAATATAAATTTATATTAAAAATCAATCCATAACATTATCTTCAAATTCATTAAATTTCTGACAAAATGTAGCTCGCTATTCTAGATATTTGTCCACTTAACCATACCCAAAAACATAACTACGACTTCTCAATTTCCTTTGCAGAGGAATATCTAGTAACATGTTACTATTTTGGACGGTTATCAGATTATTTTTTCATGAACAGTTATATATTTCATGGATTTTAAACATATTTTTCACACTGACACTTATAGTACAGTTATAGTTTAGTATAGATTTGTATAGATGTATCGTAGGTTAGGTGAAATTGATCTTTTCACGAAAAATGTAAGTACCATTTCATGAATTAAAAACGAGATTTCATACTACACGTTGTACTACTTGTATACTATTAGTTTTTCCTCGTAAACTTAACCGAGTATATTCGAAGTGTAAAATTGTGTTATTATTCTAGGGAATATTACTGCTGGCGGAAGCTATACGAGAAGAATTGTTGGATCAGGGTGCGTAACAATAACACCAAATCATACTTATCAGTTAACGATTATGACTATAGAATAAGGATCTGTATGAATTTGCAACTATATTTTCGTTGATTGTATAATATTATGTTAAGTTATCGGTGATAACTTATCACATTGTTTAAGTTTTAAGTTTTAATTGTATTTTTTTTATTCATACCTAATAATACACATTGTAATTAAATAGTGAAAATAAAAATGTATGAAAAATTATTCTATTGTTTTTTGGTTTTGGTAAGCTCCAATTAGCACTAACTTACATTTCTGTGTAGGTAAATAACTTTGATATTACATACTGGATATTATTTAACTGTAGTACCTACTTTCCTACCCTATTGTGAAAATAATTACCTCATTTTAAGTCCTAGACATGTGTTGTTCCCAACGACTTACGTACACATAGATGAAGAAATGTATATACGCGAATATGTATATATTTTTCTTATACAATGATATATTATTGAATTCAAGTTTAACACCTTCCATTACAGTGGTCAGTAACCCAAACGACACCAATAATAATGTACAGTAGAACGGCAGACATTGTAATCTGTAAATTAATGGACATTCACTTATAGCCTAATATAAGATTAAAAACAAAAATTAAGGTGCCCTCAAATGATTTAGACCAGTACTGGCCTGCTCCATTGTATTTATACAAGCGTAAAAACCAATAATTAATTTTAAAAAAGGTAATAAATTATGTAACCGTTTACAGTTCTGGTGTGAAGTGTGGAACTACAGCAATGGATGTATTATATTTGAATTTAAATCATTACATTTACGAAAAAGTTAAAACGATCTGGGCAGAGGCAGTCTGTCAGCCTATTATACATTTTATACTCTTAAAAAATATTTTTTTTTTTATTATTAGTAATATACTAATATGGTATAAACCGTAAAATAAATAGATGATAAAATACAAACAATGTGAATGTTCTAAAAATATTATCGTGTATATAATTACATGGTTATGTACTTAAAAGTTTTAAATCCTCAAGAAAAATATTTTTGAATTACAACAAAACAACAAACATCGTTATTCTTTGTTTAAATGTCTAATTTAGAAGAAATTTGAACCTCAAATGTCTAAACAAAAAAAATCGTGCTAAAATGTGTCGTAGGTTGATATTTTGTTTTCAGTATGACTATTATGAATTTTGTATTCAATTTTCAAATCACAGAGTGATGGATGAATTTCTAGAGATTTCTCTATCATGGTAAGCATTTTCCTCCCCTAGCTAAGAATATATACTATTAAGAGGAAGTCAGTACGACTGTTCTATGATGAAAAACATAATTTACCATTTCTTAATTTTCTCAGCTCACATATATCATAGAAATACGAAACAAAAACACATTGAATAGCAAAAATATTATCTAGTGCCCTACGGTGCCGATTTTTTGTATCTTAATTTTGTTATTAGTTATAATGAATTAAAAAACTAAAAAAAATTGATATTTTAACCATTTACAAAACGTATTTAAATTTAAGTATCCCAAAATGGCACCGTAGGGCCCTAGATAATTTTGTCATTAACAATTTGTTTTTTGTTTCACCGCTTTATGACTTTCTCAACTCGAGAAAATAGAGAAATGCCGAAGTAATAAATTAATTTGGTTGATGGTGAAAAATATAATTCCGTAATCGACCTGTGCTGCACGTGTTTCCGTTGCAATAGCGGCATGGTTTTGACTTATGAATGTATTTTACCACCACTACAGCACAAGCAACTGAACTATTTACGGCATGCGTCTATATTGGTTGTTGACACGCATATCGATGTTTATTTATAAACTAAATATTAATAATTATTACTATGATATTATTATGAATACAGGACAAAAAATAAAATATAATATTAGAATATAAATATATAATACAATATGTCAATATTAGACATCAATGATTTGATTAGTTGGTAATTATTGCTGTTCTACACAGTGGACTGTACTATTTGGTTCAGTTCAATGTGTTGACTGTTTATTACTTTATTCTATAAGTGTTATTGTTATTACTGTAATAAATTATTATGGTGAATAAAAAAGGATTTCCTTCTAAAAGAAAATCTAATGCCAAAAAAAAGGAGGAAGTTGTCTTTTTCAATATAATAAAAAGTAATTTTAAAATAATTAATTTCATACTTGTATTGTTCAAGAATCAAGGATGGGTTATGACTTTGCATTTCGCATTGAAATCCGGGCTCTAGCTACAACTTTTCAATAATAATTTCCGAAAACATTTCAAAACATTTTTGAAAGCCCTCCCTTAAGAAAAATTCTAAACATCCTTGATTACAATTTAACTTTTTGTCAACATTGTTTTGCTATAAAATAGAATATGTTCTAGGTATAAGTCGACTTCAAGTACCCTGCAGCTAGTTGAAGCACCTGAAAACATTGTGCCTCAATCTCAAGACAGTATACAAAATACTGAGTAAGAATAAAATAATAATAATAAATTATTATTAATAATATACTGGAAGTATATATTATAATCTATAAATATACAGCTAATATACATATTATAGATAAATTCTTATTTCACAATATCTATCATTGTCAAAATACACATACAATTTTAAAAAGTTGGGGGGGGGGAAGTAGGTATCCACTCTACTGTACAGTAGATAGGTGTCTCGACTCTCGGTGTCTGTGTACCTTGTCATTGTATATTATAGAATACCTATAGTATTTATAGTGGATTTGTTAAATTTGAATTCAATGGCAAATCATCGCATATACGAAAAACGATGTTGAGCAAAGGCTGTCACAGCCTTAAAGCCTACATTACCAAATATAATTGATTACCCATATATATATTTTATACTGCTACTACAGTAATTTAATTTATTATTGTTATTTATACTACTGCAGGTAGGTTATAATAATAAAGTTTAAGTATCCAATACCCACGAATAATATATTTGAATTATATAAATACAATTAAAGTCGTTATATTTCATTTAAATATCCAGTTTCGTAAAAAACAAACTTTAAATGTCTATGAAAAAAAATTGTGACTACGTACTTTATATATTTTTAATTGATTTTAGGAGGATCTTTGAATAACATTTTTAAGCTTTTTTTATTTAATAACAATATTTGTAATAATATACTTAATTTGAAAAAAATAATAATAAAAAAAAAAATTAGAATTTCTATGCATTTGTATGTTTTTTATTCCTTTATTCCCAATTTATTGGTTATCAGCCATATCCAAGATTTGGCTTATTCTAGTTTAAATGGAACAATTTTTTTTGCATATGTTGTACAAGATGAATAATATAATTGCATATTTAGATTTCATGAAAATCCAACAAATTTGAAATGGTATTTATTTAATAATTGCCTTTATGGCACATTAAAAATTATTTTAGACGTTAGATATACTTTATTTATATTTTACAAATTTTTATTGCATATAAACCATAGCCATACACGCATCATTTTAAATTCGGTCTGTTGTATGATATTCTTATAACAATACGATAACATTTCAGACATACGTCAACACCCCAAAACTCCCCAATTAGTTGTCAACCATCGTCGAATTTGGATATATCCGATGTACATAGTGAGAGTTTGATGTGGAATAATTCATCGATTATACATGAAAATATTACTGCGGACACATTAAATGCGTTTTCTGACAATAATGTTCAATCATTTAGTTTAAAAACTGAAGTCAGAAATGATAATTTTGAGTATGTATAATATATAGAAAAAACTAAATATGAGTTTTGTAATTTTTATACTTTAATTTATTTTATAAATAGTTCATACAGTCTCGTTATCAGGTAGAAGAATAGTAGATATTTAAAGGTTATTAATTATTATTATTTAAAGACAATTAAAATTTGTTTGGAATGATCTATAGTACAACTACAGGCGTAGTCATTATTTCTATAGCAGTGTTAACAGTTTTCCTAATCACGGACCAAAATGAACGAACCCCTCGCAGGCAAAAGTATATTAAGAATCGACAAAAAAGTTGATGAAATAAATGTGCATTAAAAACAAATATTAAAGACTGTTGTCTACAATATCAGGATTCCTAAATTCATACAAGGTACAATTCGTACAATAATTAGATCATGATACAATGAATATTTATACAGCACTAACTGCAGGTTATCAAAACTTAAAATATGATTTAAATAATTGAGTAAAAGGAAAGAAAAAAAAATGTAAGGGGGCATGGACGCCCACAGGCAAATGAGTTTAGGGAATCAAATAAAAAAAAAATTCGATAGAATTTAATTCTAAAAATAAAAATGGGAAGGGTGACAAGCGTGCCCGCAGGCAAATAAATTTTGAGAGTAAAAAAAAAGAAAATATGACAAAATGTGAATTAAAACAAACATTAAAGACGGCAGATTACATTACCTATATTCTATTCCTAAACTCATAGCGTTATTTAGAATAATTATATATCATGAGAAAATAAATATTTTAAAGCATCAGCTGGTTATCAATATTTCAAAAAATGTGACTAAAAAATTAAACAAGGGTTAAATTGTGAAAAAAATTGGAATGAGGGCATAGGGGCCCGCGAGCAAATACATTTTGAGAATCAAGAAAACAAAAAATCAAATATATATAAATTTTAAAAATAAAAATGGCAAGGGGGACATAGGGGGACACAAGACAAATGCGTTGTGAGAATCAAAAAACATAAAAATATGATAAAAGTTGCACTAAACACAAACATTAAAAGCAGCAGTCTACAATATAAGTATTCCTAAACTCATAGCGTTATTTACATTAATTAAATTATGGTAAAATGAATATGTATAAGGAACCGGCTGGTTATCAAAATTTAAAAATGGTATTTAAAAGTCATCGAGATTCAATTGTAAAAATAAAAATGGGAAGGGGGACATGGGCGCGAGCGGGCAAACGCGTTTTGAGAATCAAAAAAAAAAAAAATATGAAAAAAATCAAATATAATTTAATTTTAAAAATAAAATTGGGAAGGGGGACATGGGCGCGAGCGGCCAAATGCGTTTTGAGAATCAATAAAAATAAAAATATGAAAAAAGTTGCATTAAAAACAAACATTAAAGACTGCAGCCTACAATATAAGTATTCCTAAACTCATAGCGATATTTACAATTATTAAATTATAGTAAAATGAATTATGTATAAGGAACCGGCTGGTTATCAAAATTTAAAAATGGTAT